TGGAACGAGCTCCTCAAACTCCTGAATTTCGCAAGCCTAGCTCTGATCTGGCCGAATCTGGAGTTGAGCACCTTCTTGGACTTCAGCCCCTTGGGCCTCATCCCGAAATCGCAGCCGAGGTTCCGAGCGGCATCCACGGCCTTAAACGCCCAGCGGTCCAGCCGCCTGGCCACTCCTCGGGCCACTTCCTTACAGGTCGAGACGATTTTCCCCTTGGGGTCAGATAAGACCAGGCAGAGCGCTTCCAAAGACTCGCAGAGGTGGGCCGTCGTGTTGCCTAAGCCAACCTGCGCAAGCTTCGCGGAGCCTGACATGAACAACGTGATATCGTCAACAACGTTGAAGGGGAAGACCGTCGGCCACTTTTCGACCATGGAATCCAGGGGCCCCATCAGAAGCAACCTCAGGCGACTGGTGGCGAAAGGACATCCTGCAAGAATCGTCTGGTAAACCTGCGTGACCATAGAACAAACACCTGCCAGGCTCCGCACCCGAGGACAACGGTACTGCAGCAGACACACGCGTAGCCTATACAGCGGGAAGTTCCACTTCACCGCGGCTGTGATCAGCAGGTAATGGCAGACCTTCTCATGGGCTTTTGTGAGGTCCATGAGGGATATCCCCGCGGTGCCTCCCTGGAGGTTGACATACTCGACAGACAGCGACTGCTCCCAGACGGCCTGCTCGCACGAACGTCCCTGGACCCCGCACTGATAGTCCCTGTAGTGGTCTCTCTCCCAAGACACCGCTTCAGCCCTATTGATCTCCCCGAAGACCCTCGACACTCCAATCATGATTCCAGTGGGCCGATAGCCCCCCTCAGGTTTCAATAACTGCGCCAAGAGGACCAGGGAGACGCAAGAACTCAAGGGCCCTTCAACCTCTCGCCAAAACCAGAGGAGCCCAAGACACTCCAGAGCCCCATCAGAGAGGTCCCCGAACTCGCGAAGGTGGAGCATGTCGGCCCCCATGGCGGCGAAGGACTTGAAACTCGTTGCAGTTGCTCGTATCTTAGCTGGCTGTCGGGGAGCTGGGCAAAGATCGGCGACTTCCATACCTCTCGCCTGAGCCTGCTCCTGAAGCTTCTGGTTCAGAAGAGGGAGAGGGTCTGGGAACTGGCCAGCCTTAGGGTGGGGGGGCCCAGACCTGGATCCAGAAGTTGAGCAGCCCATCCACCTGCTGCTGAAGCCCAGGCGGGGGGGGGGGGGCTTCCAGGCTGACGCGGGGAACCCAAGCGACGGCAGGCTTGGTGTACTCGTTGGCTTTTCCCCCACCCTGGCTGACGGCTTTGGCTACCCATTGGCGCCACCTGGCTCCGCGCTCGCTCTTGAAGCGCGACTCGCACTTAGTGGCGAACTTGGTGGCCGGAACAAACATGTCGGGCCACCCCTTCGAAGTGTACAAGAACAGAGTGTCGAGCGAGGGCAGCCAACCTTGCCAGTCCTTGCGGATGAGCAGACGAGCTGGTCCCTTGATGAGTATGTTGGTCCATCTCACGCATTCGTCATCACCCCAAGACACACCTTTCTTAAAGTTATGATAGAGCTCGAAAGCCCAGTTGGCAACTTGCCTCCAGCCCCTGGACTCCGCGGACCCAACGGGATAAGCACCACCAGCAACCCGAAGAGCAGGAGCCCAAACAAACTTAGGAGGCTGGCCTCGCCCGCGGTACTTGGGACGCTCGAACGGGTCGATGGCGTGAGCCTCCAACAGTTCCTCCTCCATCTTCTGGAAGAAGGCCAAAAAGGTAGGGTCCAACTGCTGCCGGGAACCACGCGAGCTGGCAGCAGAGATGAGCTCAGACCAATATGGCGGCGCGGGTGCAGGGCCGACAGGGAGGTCGAGGAAAGGCACGCGGTCTGCGCAGGACCCGAACCCTCGAGTCTAGCGGCTGGCCAGACAGCGTGAGGGTGATGGGCCAGTGCGTCTTGATACATTTGGCCTCGTTTCTCTGAACACCTCTGACAACCTTCTGCAGAGCCCTACTGACAATAGAAAAATCAATGCAGCTCCAAGACTTCCCTGTTGAACGGCACGTAGGCTCCGAGGTTGAGACGATACAACCTCCAAGACGCTCTGGTCAACCCCCGTCAGACAACTGCTCTGGAGTGCAATTCCAGTCAGCTCCCAATATGAACGGGATACCCATGCCAAATAGGTACTGCCCGAGACGCGACAGGATCTGGCACCCCTCGGGGCCCAGGGGATCCTTCTCATCCAGGTACACGGTCACTCCCAAGAAGCCACCTTCGATAAACGCGTTGATGTAGGTCACCTTGACCCGATGGGGGCTGGGCAGAGCACGCGTGACACCGGGGGGCTTCCCCATGCCGATCTGTCTGCGAACGGCAATCCCCAAGCCTGACGACACTCCGCCAGCCTCTGCGGCCACCGAGGCGTTCAGCGCGATGTCCCAACCTAGCTTCTTTAAGGAGTCCTCCTTAGTCTTCACTGAGCCACCTAGCACCCCGATCTCCTGGAGGAACACCACAGAGGCCTCCGTCTCCTTCTCAAGATAAGGCAGTAGCGATCCGCAAGATGTCGTATTGCACGTCTCCACCAGGAAACGCCGGGCTCTGCGTTGTCGACTGCGAGAGAACCTACCAGGGGCCTGCACAGGGGAGGGCTCTCTCGGAAGGGGCTGTGGCAACTTAAACTTAGACGTGCGCTGGTGCCTCTGTGCGACGCCAGCAGGCACGCGGCGCCTAGAGCCCCCAGGTGGCCCCGAGAGGCCCTCAGATGGCGCTGGCGACGCCGAAAAACGTGAGCCCCGAACCCCCCGCCCTGGATGAAGCGCGGCTCTATGTCCTTCCGCCCAGGGTCCGCGACGCTGTTTTGTCGAAACGCGGCTGAGCAAAACGCGGGGAGGAGGGGGGAGCATCAGGAACATCGCGATCCTGTTGGCGACGGTCACCAGGAACATGGAGCACCTGTGGCGCCCCCCCCCCTCCCCCAGCTCCTCCAGCGATCCCCAACCGATGGGGGCCCTCCTGCGGGTCCCTGGGCCCCTCAGAACCCAGTCCGCGCAGGTGCCAGCTCCTCGGCGAGGTCTCCACCGTCTCAGGGGCTGGGGGGGCCCACGCCCGTCGACGCGGAAACCGAAGTCGACGCGGAAGCCCTCGTACAGGCCGCCGCCGTAGTCGCAGTAGACGAATGCCGCGGGTCGTGCCGAGCATCTTCGAAGTCTAAGTCGGGCCTAGCAGCTGGGATCGGGAATCCAACATCAGGCCAGGCATTGTCAACAGCATTGCTCGACCAGAAATCCGCAGCAGCAAATTCCGAACATATCACATGGCTACTCGAAACTCGGCGCGGCGCCGCCGATGGGCCCGATGTCGTCGCAGTGGCCGTGGTAGCCGAAGCAACGCCAGGTGGATCGGCAAAGTCCATCCCAGCGGCTCCCTGCGGAACCTGCACACCAGCGGCGGCATCACTGGCTGCAGGAACTCCAGCACCACTATGAACATGGCCCTGGCGTGTCCACCTTGGCCGCGGTCTTGAGAAGGCCTTGGGCTCGAGCTCGAGGGTCAGGTCCGCCGATGACCTCGCCCTTGCCCTTGCCCTTGCCCTTGCCCATGCCCATGACCCCTGCCACTGTTGGAGGAGTACTCTCTGGAGCAGCAGACGGCTCGCCTGCTGGCGCGCCTGTCGGAGCAGCCTCTACCACGTCAGTCTTGCGCTTCTTGCCCTTGAGGCGCTCCTTGACCTGCTCGTGCTCCGCCTTCGCCGAGTTTGCTTTGTCGCGGGCCGTTCCGAATAACTCCGTGGCAGACCGCGACAGATTGTCCAGCAGCTTTTGCAAGCCGGATTCCTCAACATCCTCGTAGTCGGCCAGGCCAACCAGAGACTCCACTCCACTGAACTTGAGAACAGCTTTCCCGTCGAGCAGTTGGTCGAGGCTGATCGCGAGCACATCCTCTGAGCCTGGCTCCTTGGCGGGGACGACCGCCGCGTGGAGCTCCTTGATGGCCTCGGAGTAGGTCTCGTCGGCCTCGGCCAGCTTAGCGGGAGTGGAACTCCACCTTGACCCGTTGCTCGTCGAGCTTCGACTGCAGGGCCTCGAGAGCATCACATTGGTCGAGGAGCTGCTGCTCGAGCCGCTTGATATCCTGGCCTGCCTTGTCTGCTCGAGCCTTCGGCGGGTCTGGTGGCTGTGGGAGCGAGGCTTTCCATGCCATCTCATACTGCTTTGCCAACTGGGTATTGCCTGCCTTGCGGATCAACAAGATGAACTGTTGCACCTCAGACTCGGCGAGTCCTGCCACTGAAGGAAGGGCGCCAGGAGGAGCAGCATCAGCCAAGCCCAGCTGCCCCTTGATCTTGCCTTTGGACTTGGCTTTGCCGCCGTTGGTGACGCCTGTATCCTTGGCCTCGCCCTCGGGCTTGACATAGACTTGCTTCCAGTGGCGGCCACAATGCTTACATTTGGACATACTCCACAAGTTTTTCCCGCAGCCACATGCCTCACATCGCCAGCGTGATTGCTGGTTCTCTCGCCAGGGGGCGCCATGCGACATGGCCTGCTGGACGAGGGAAGACGCGCGAACCTTACAATACTTGAGGTGTACAGTAAGGGTGTGTCCTTGCTGGCCCGCTGGCCGAACAACGGAAAGAAAAGGGGATGCAGACTCCTGGCTGGGCAGCCGCCTATGGAGCCTGCGGGCACGTCGGACGCCTCCTCGGGTGTGGGGGAGTCCACAGATGTTACTTGAGCCAAAATGGCTTGAGCCAAAATGGCTTGAGCCAAAATGGCTACGGACCCTCCTCCTCCTCCTCCTCCTCCTCCTCCTCCTCCTTCTCCTCCTCCTCCTCCTCCTCCTCCTCCTCCTCCCCCTCCCCCTCCCCTCCCTCCTCCTCCTCCTCCTCCTCCTCCTCCTCCTCCTCCTCCTCCTCCTCCTCCTCCTCCTCCTCCTCCTCCTCCTCCTCCTCCTCCTCCTCCTCCTCCTCCTCCTTCCTCTCAAGCGGATTGATGGGTATCGTTATGCAGATTATGTCAGGCTCTAAGCGAGCTTCCAACATCTCGCTGAGCAGCACCAAAGCCAGCTGCCACTGCTGGGCCTTCTCGCACGCGCTGATCCCGGCGCTGTAACTAATGACGTTAGGCTCGAGCTCCGCCGTCTGAAGCTCTCCGAGCAGCGCCAAAGCCCGCTGCCACTGATCGCCCTTCTCGCATGCGCTGGCCCCAGCGCTGTAGCTGACTAGGGCTGACCCGTGGCCTACCGGCCACGAGACCTTCCTGGGATGGCACGTTGGACCAGGGCAGAAATGTCGCCGAAAGACTTTCGTGATGGCGTTTGGCCCGAACATCGCCTCTGCTGTTGCTGCATGCAGCTGCAGGGTGTTGCTGCCTGCGGCATCTGTTTGCTGCTGCTTATTATTTGTGCTTTTGCTGCCGTTGCAAGCTGCGGACTGTTGTTGTTCGCTGTTGCTGCTTGAGGCTGCAAAGTGCTGCCTCTTGGTACCCTTGCTAGATGACGGAACCTGCAGCTCGTGAGTAGAGCAAGGAGCGAGGAGTAATGAGCGAAGAATCAGGGTCGAGGGGGGAGTGGGAGAATCGAGGAGCGATCAGCGAGGAGCTCAGAGCGAGAAGGCAGAAGCAACGGCCGGATAGAGAGAGAGAGAGGCGAGGAGGGGTCCGCCGACCCCCGCTTGCTGGGCGTGCAAAGGCGTGATAGATGATGGACCGTCCCCCTCCGCCTTTCCCCCTCCCCTTGGGTCCGAAATCCGACTCGAGTGGAGGGGGGGGGGGCCAGGGCGGGGCAAGGGGCCCCAGGGGGGGGGGCCCGGAGGGGGGGCCTAGTGGGAGCTCGGGGGAGGGGGGAGGGGGAGCGAGGCGGAGCTCGCCAATGCACCCACGGGCCCCATGGAGCCTCCAGGATGCCTAAGATGCAATCTAAGCAGGCTCAAGCTGGGCTCCAACACGCAAGTAGCGAGAAGGCAGGCACGAGAAGAAGCCAGCACACGCATGTGTCAATGGCCTCGGCGCGCGTGTGGCCGAACATCTTGTCCCCTCTTGGGTCGATCATGGGGTTCTCTTGGGAGGCCAGTGCGGTCACAGAGCTCTCTAAGGGATCTTTTCTCGGAAGCCTCAACGCAGCGGTTTTGGTATGTCTTAGGGGCCTCTCGAGGCCCACTTGGAGCCTCTGGGGGCCTGATTTGGGCGTCTTGGGGGCCTCCTGGGGCTTCTGGGGGGCCTCTTGGGGGCCTGCTGGCAGGGCGGAGGACGCGAAATGTGTTGGGCCGTCTGGGGTGCCTCTCGGAGCATCGTAGGGCCCTCTTGGGCCGTCTGGGGGCCATGTTGGTAGCATGTTGGGCCGTCTAGGGGTGATATTGGCGGCTTGGGCCGTCTTGCAGCGTCGAAGCCCGAAAAGGAGAGACCGTCAAAATCCTTACACAAAGAATTCGGAAACCAACGATTGTCGCCTCCTGGGCCCAATTGGGGGGCCTCTTGGTCCATCTTGGGGCCTTGTTGGGCCGTCTGAAGGCCATGCTGGCGACCTCGTGGACCGTCGAGAGGCGTCTCGGGCCATGTTGGGCCATCTTGGAGCCATCTGGGGCTCTCTGGGGCCTTTCCAGACGCCCCTGGAGGCCCTCCGGGTGCGCCCCGAAGCTCCTACAGTCCATTGGTCCCCAGACCCTTCTCACACGTTCTTGCCCCAACATTGTAGAGATGATGATGACGTTGGGCTCCAACTTCGCCTTCTGGAGATCGCTGAGCAGCGACAGAGCCACCTGCCACTGCCCTACCTTCTCGCACGCACTGATCCCAGCGTTGTAGCTGACCAGGGCTGACTCGTGGACTTACGTCAACGACGACAACATATCCGCATGCAAGAACAGAGATCGCTTGCATGCTTGCATGATTGCATGATTGCGTGATGTCCTGCGCGTATGGCTGCCGGCTTGCTAGCCACATCGCTGTCTCCCCGACGTTCGTGCTTGCATTCTGGCCAGCGGCACGCCTGACATCACGTTTGTTTGTTTGCCAATTGTCTTGCTTCATCGCTTGATCGTCTGCTCGTTGACGCGTAATGCCGCTTCGTGCTGGTATTTCGAGTTTCTGCTGCTACTGCCTGTTTGCTGATGCGGGCTGTTGATTGCTGCAGGAGATAATAGCTGCTGGGTGCTGATGTTGTGATGCTGTTTATGTGTGCTGCTGCAGATTGCTGTTTCTTGCTGTGCTGCCCCTTTAGCTGATGCTGTTTGCTGCTAGCTCTGCTCGCGTGCTGTCCTCATTGCCAGGCTGATTGCCAGCTGGCCCGACCGTTTGTCTGCCTGCCTGTGTGCTGGCCTGCTGGCCTGATTCTTGCGCTGCTCGCCGCTGCTGCCTGCTGCTGCAGGATACCGCTGCCTGCTAGTGCTACTCGCGGATGTTGCCTGCTGCTGTTGGTTGCTGCTGCCTGCTAGTGCTGCTGGTGGCTAGTGTTGCCTGCTGCTGTTGGTTGGTTGGATGGTTGGTTGGTTGGTTGGTTGTTTGGTTGGTTGGTGCTTCCTGCTGCTGATTTCTGCTGCTCAATGCTGCCTGCAGCTGCTAATGGCTGCAGCTACTGGCCTTGTGGCTGTTGAATAGGGGGGCCGTGCTGGGGCACTCTGTGACCGCTCGGGAGGCGTATCAGGGGCCATCTTGGGGCCGGCCTCTCTGGGGCTTCTTGGGCCGTCGCGGCGCCCTCTGGAGGCCCTGTTGGGCTGTCTGTGGGCTTTTCGAAGCGGTTTCGAAAGGTTTGGTGGGCCCTCTTGGGGCCATCATCGGCCTCTCTCGGGGCCATCTTGGAAAACACCCAAAAAGTCTCAAAGACTGGCCTCTATCGAGCCTGTCTGGAATGGCTTCGTGCGCCCCTGGGCGCCCAGGACGGCGCCGTCCTTCGAGCACAGCCGCCGAGGCAACGCCAGCCAGGGCCAGGCCGAGGGAAACATCTACCCTTGTCGCACGCGGATGGCTGGGCATTGTCCTACAGACGACGTCGGGCTCCAAGGTCGCCTCCCGCATCACGCCGAACAGCGCCAAAGCCTGCCGCCACTGCTCGCCCTTCTCGCACGCGCTGATCCCAGCATTGTAGCTGACTAGGGCTGACCCGTGGACTTCGTCCACGACATCTTTCTGGAATGGTTCTCGGAGGAACGGCGCAGATTGTACCGAAAATCTACAAACACGGCGGCGGCTCGGGCGGCGGCAGCGAGACCGCGCCTTCGTGTCCGAGCTCTTGCAGCGCTGCAGCAGCTTGGCCCAGCGCACTGCTCGTTCACCCCCCTCCTATTGAGGACAGTTTCGAAGTCTCTCGGGGATGTGCGTCGAAGTCGAAGCCCATCTGAGGCGTCTCAGGAGCGCTCGGGGAAGGGCTCGGGAGGCCATCGGGGAAAGCCACCGAAAGCGCCGGGGAGGCTCGCAAGGATCTACAGGGAGGGCCCAAGAGAGCTTCAAGAAAATTTGAAATCCAGTGAACTCTTAAGAGAAACCGCTGTTGGGTCGGCCATCACCTCCGGGCGCGCCTTGATGGTGCGATCCAGTCGCATCACCGCCAACGGGAGGGTTTGTTCGCCATGTCCCATTCTGTTCGCCCAGAGGGTCTGTGGAGGCCTTCGGGCGAACAGAACGGGACAGGGCAAGGAATGGGGAAGACATGTCCGAATCTCCTGGGCCCCCCAGATGCTCGTCCGAAGAATGCGGAGAGGTCCCAGGGTCATATCAATTGGCTGCTGTCCCAGGGGTCCGGTCTGCTTGGCCCGAAGAGTTTGCCAAGGCCCCTGGGGGAACAGAATGGCACAGCATATCGGGCAAAGGGGGGCGGTAGCTGGCCTGTCAGACCCGGCGTTCGTCTTCTGCCCAAGCGGCGCGGGGCCCACGGGCCCCAGGGTTGGCGGCCCGCTGGGATTCCTCTTGTTCGCCCACAGGGTTGGAGGAGGCCTCCAGGCGAACAGAATGGGGCAGGACAATGAATGTGGGAGACTTGTCGCAAGCTCCCAGCCCCCCCAAGTGTGCGCCCGAAGGGTGTGGGGCCGCGTTGGCTCCCTCAAAGGGCCGTCTTGGAGCCGTCTAGGCCCGTCTTGAGGGCGCCGTTTGCCCTGATGGGGCCGTCTTGGTTCGTCGTGGGCCCCTCCTGGGCGCGTCCGTAGGCCGTCCTGGGCCCATCGGGGTCCTCGTGGGGCTGTCTTGGAGCCGTCTGGGACCGTGAGGAGGCCGCCTTGGAGTCGTCTTGGGCCCCTCCTGTGCGCCTCCTTGGGCCGTCCTGGGCCCAGCAGGGGCCGTGTTGGCACCCTCTTGGGGCTGTCTTGGAGCCGTCTTGAGCCGTCGCAGCGCGCCTTGGGTTGTGCTGGGTCCGTCTTGGCCCGTCTTGGGGCCTTCCTGGGCGGTTCCTCGGACCCTCCTGGGACTTTCTGGGGCCTCTTGGTGCATCGGACCGCCGAAACGGCGGGAAACGCAAAGGGTGTAACAGTAAACAATGGAAAATTAACGATTTTTGCCAGCTGGGACTCTCTTGCCATCTTGGCCCGTCTTGAGGCCCCGAACGGGCGCGTCCTTGGGCCGTCCTGGGCGCACCCTCCTGGGACCGTCTTGGAATCGTCTTGGGCCGTCTTGAGCGCGCCTTGGGCCGTCCTGGGCCGGTCTGGGGCCGTGTTGGCACCCTCGCGGCGAGGAAGCTCGGAGGCGGGCTCGAGGCCTCTTCGGAGCCATTTTGGAAGCTGTTCGGGCCTCTGTAGGGGCCTCGTTTGGGTTCCTTGGGAGCCTCCTGGGGCCTCTTCGGGGGATTCTTGGCGGCCCCTTGGGGCCTCTTGGGGGCCTGTTTGGGCCTCCTGGCGCCCTCTTGGGGCGGAAGGCTCGGATTTTCGGTCCGTGGTCCCCCTCTTGGCCCCCTCTTGGGCCTGTCTTCGGGCCCTCGTGGGCCGTCTTGAGCGTCTCTTGGGTCGTCTTGGGGCCCTCTTGGGCTGTTTTGGGGCGCTCTTGGAAACCTCTTGGGTCGTTCTGGGGCGCTCTTGGAGGCCTCTTGGGCCGTCTTCGAGCGTCGGAAAGCGGAACTGGCGAGAAGGCCAAAATCCTTCCAAAACCGTCGTAAAGCGGAGGATTTTGAGGCCCAAAACCGTCCAAAACCTCCTGAGGCGGTCCCCTCGTCCGCCCCCCTCGCTTCGAAGCAGATTTTAAGCCCCGTGGCACCTCTTGGGGATCTCTTTTGGGCTCCTGGGGGCCTCTTGGGCCTCCACTGGATTCGCTGCCCTCGGTCGGCAATCGTCGATTTGTATGGCGGGCTCCTGCATTAGAGTGCAGGTGCATAGGGCGGTGCTTGCAGGGTGCTTGCAGGGCCCTGGGTAGGGCCTTTACCCAGGGCAAACCTTGTATATTCAATAAGCCCTTGGGTAAGGATTTCTAAAATCAAAACAAAACCAGGGGCAATCATAATCAAACCAGGGGCAAACCAGGAGCTAGGAAATGCTCCGGCCGTTGAGCCGAAGCACTTCCCAGCTCCTCGGTCTCGTCTCTCAGTCCGTCCTTCCTCCCACTGGTCCGTTCCCCCTTTCCTTCACCCCCGCCGTTTCTTTCTCGTCTCCTCGTCCTCCGCGCCCTCCTTCCGTCACCTCCTCGCCCTTCTTTCCCCCCACTCCCCTCTGCCCTCCTCCTTCACCTCCCACGCCCTTCATGCCCCCCCCTCTTCGGTTCCTGGTGATGTCGTTGGTGTGTCTCTCCCGTTCTCTCCTCCACGTCTGCCGCTCTCCCTCCCGCTGTCGGACTCCCCACCCTGCCCCCCACCACCCCCTCCCCGCGGGGGCGCGCGTCCAGCGCCTCGAACTTGACCCCGTCGGCGGCGGGGCGGGCGGCCCGCGGCGACGACGGGGGCGGGGGACGACGACGACGACGAGGACCACGACGCCGTCCTCCTCCTCTTCTCCTCTTCCTCCTCCTCCTCCTCCTCCTCCTCCTGTTCCTCCTCCTCCTCCTCCTCCTCCTCCCGTGGACTCCGACGGCGACGGCGCCGAGGGCGACCCTATTTCAACATAGGGCGATGGTGACTACGATGAGGGTGGCGCTGATGCTACCCTCATCGCAGTCACCATCACCTTCATATCAGTGGGCATGGTTACGACTATGATGATAACACTCTCTGACTCGACCCGCTTGTTTAATTTTGTTTGCATTTGTACTCGAGTGAGGCGCCTCGTTTTCTAGATGTGATCCAACGCAGCACTCATCGATCCCTGCGTGAGTGCTGCACCCGTCGTCGGGCAAACCCGACTCGCTGGCATGGATGGCCATGCCTTTCCGATAATCTTCAAACTCAAGGCCGAACCTCCTCCCTCCTTCATCCCACACCCGTACTCCTTCAGTTGCCTCGTTCCTCGTTCATCGCAGACTTGGTGGGGGGGGGGCCAGCCAGGCTCTGACAGGCTGCGTGCACTGAAGCTGTGCTCTGACTCTGGCGACGGGGGGGGGCATGCATCTACTTCTTAATGGCCTTCTTCTTGAGAAGGCCGCCCCCCCCCGCGCCGCCTGCGCCTGCCGACGAGGAGGCGCTTGAAACCGAAACGGCGGGCACAGCAGTTGACTCGAGACTCCTCGGACTCAAGTCTTTCATCATCTTGATATTGCCGAGCTCTGACCCCTCGAGGGCCATTGAAACACGTTTCTGCAGGCTGGCAGGCAGGTCCTTGAGCTTCGCGCCATAGCGCTTGGACACTGCCTGCACACACAATTCTAAAGATTTCTGGCGGGAAGCCTTCGGGGCGGCACAAATGCAATTGGCTAAAAGAAGGGACGACACCGTGACCGCCAGGCTGGCATTGATCTCGGTG